GTGACCCCAGGAGCATCGGTCTAACAGGAGGACAACAAAATAGGAGCATGTCATTTGCAGTTGACTAGCACCTAAAATTTATCATGATTAAAGCAATAATTCCTAATATTTACATAACACTATCACACGTTTGTGTTTCTCAGTTTCCCCAAGCAACAAATACTATGATTATTTGAAGGTTAAAAAAAGAGAAAGGAAAAAGAATACTTCCTATGGAGCTGCCAATATGGCAATTAAACATAAGAAGGTAAAAATAATCAATACAACAATCAGAGATAGCTTTGTCCAACACAATGGCAAAGTTGTTCTCCAGCATCTTATTACTCAGTGGCTCTGAGAATACAATGAAATTACACTCTGGTACACCTGAAGGCAGAAACTGACATACTCCTTCCAGTTTTAAGCTTGAAAATATGCATTAGATATCTTTTTTAAAAACACTATTTCATGCACTTTGACCCTGTGATCCTTTCAAGGGTGAATAGAAAATTTATACACAAAAATATTCATCATAATTTATTTGTAATGTGCAACAGCATGGAATGGTAACATAAAGTACAGTGTATCCATGTTTTTATTCATGGATTTTAAAAATCCATGTTTTAAGGAAAACTCAATGGCAATTGTTAGACAACGCTGCATCATTTAAAACTATTCATGAGCACGTGTTTGCAATGGCAGCTAAGAAACTACTGGGAGTGCCCACATCCTAGATTGGAATTCCTGGCTTTGACTTTAGCTCTGCTTTCAATTCCAGCTTCCTTCAAGTGAAGATCCTGGAAGGGGCCAGGGAATGGCTCAGTTGTTGCATCTCTGCCATCTATGTGGGAATATATTGTGATCCTGGCTCCTAACTTCTGCTCCTGGTCTGGGTTGTTGTGGACATTTGGGAATGAACCAGAAAATGGGAGCTCTCTAACTGTATGTGTGTGTGTGTGTGTCCCCCTCGCAAATAATTTTTTAAAAGTAATAATTTTTAAAAATAAGATAAGCTACTCAGAACATCATAAATTTGGTTTAGGCATAAACATATACATATTTTCAGTATATTATATATTCACTAATATATCTGGATACAAAAAAACTAGGTAGAAGTAATCAATATATTTACATGGGTATGCATTGGTTTCAAAAATGTTTACACAAAAATAAACATTTTAATTCCACTTTTCTATGAACTTTTTTTTTTTTTGGACAGGCAGAGTGACCAGGAGAGAGAGAAAGACAGAGAGGTCCTTTCTCTCTGTCTTTCTCTCTCTCACTGTCCACTTGTGGCCGGCGCGCTGCGGCCAGCGCACCGCGCTGATCCGATGGCAGGAGCCAGGTGCTTCTCCTGGTCTCCCATGGGGTGCAGGGCCCAAGCACTTGGGCCATCCTCCACTGCACTCCCTGGCCACAGCAGAGAGTTGGCCTGGAAGAGGGGCAACCGGGACAGAATCCGGTGCCCCAACCGGGACTAGAACCGGGTGTGCTGGCGCCGCAAGGCGGAGGATTAGCCTAGTGAGCCACTGCGCCGGCCTCTAGGAACTTTTTTGATCGAGGGGCAGACAACGGAGAGAGCAATGGAGGGAGACAGAGCTCCCATCTGCTGGTTCACTCCCAGAACCTGGAAGTTGTGAACTCAGCCTACATATCCCACATGAGTGGCAGGAACTCAACCACTTGAGCCATCACCATTGCTTCCCAGTTTCTGGATTAGCAGGAAACTGGAGTCAGGAGTATGTAACGAACCCAGGTAATCCAACATGGGATGATTGCACTGTCAAATGCCCAGTCCTCCACAAACTCTTTGAAATGGATTCATAATAGATAATTCTAGACAGTGGTAGTAGGATTGAAAGTACTTTTTATTATGTTTCTATACTGTTATATGTGTGTGTGTATATATATAATTTATTTTCAATTTTATTTGAGAGAGAGGGAGAGAGAGAGAGAAAATGAATCTCCCATATGCTGGTTCATTCTTGAAGCCAGGAACCTAGAACTGCATCCTGGACACCCATGTGGGTAGCAGTGATCTAAGTACTTGAGACGTTATCAGAAATAATGTACAAATTATCAGAAATAAATTATCAGAAAAGTACAAAATATCAGATACCTGAAATTAGAAGCAGATCCATGTTTTGAATCAGGAATTCTGACAGAAGCTGCAAGCATTCCAATTGGTTCCACTGAGCCAAACACCCACCCATATTCAATATAGTTTAAATTTTTAGACATAGATTAAGAAATTATTGCTTTTTTAGATGTATGAGAAAATAAGTACCAGAGTTTCCAAAATTTGTGACCTTTGAGGGGAATCATGATAAAAATCACAATTTTAAAAACTGTAAAAGCTGAATCAGAAATTTATACACAAAGTATTATACCCTATCCTAATGATTTGGCAGTTCTTTGTTTAAAGAAAGAGGACTGCTGAATATTCTGAAGATAAAAAAGATATTGAATAATTTATATTCTTTTCATTTTGGACCCCTTACATTTTTAAAGCAGTGGTTTTGCTGCATTTGGAAAGACCAATGACAAGCCACTCTCAGCTAAAACTGGACTTTACATAAGTCAATATTAAGGAGGGAAGGTGATCTACTGAGTCCCTTCAGAAAAAAAGAAAACTACAGATCACATTGATTGTGAAAATTCTTAAGGGCAAATGAAGAGCAAGACAGCAAACCTATACATTTAGTGCAGATTCTTGCCTCTAGTTAGAACACAGAAATATCCTAACAACTTGGTTTCTGCAAGGTCATGGTGGAGCAGGGATCTGTCTATAAAATTCCTCCAAAGTCAAGCAGGTCACTGAATCAGCCAGGGTTACAGAGTCAGCTGTAAGTACCATTGGGAAGCCAACAACGTCTATCTTTGTGCTGTATGCATCACACAGGAGTACGTCTTTCTTCACTGGAGTTCTTGCCTCTGCTCTGTGCCCACAGTGCCAGCCTGTCCTGTATCTGAACACACCTACCCCCATCCCAGGTGTGCGGTGTGAGGGCTGATTCATCATGGATCATGCTGAATTTCTGATCAGAGCTCAGTCTAATTTTCCAATTATCAATCCATCTGAAGAACTACTTTGCCTTTTAGAAAAAAATTACAGTGGCTGATGGGGCACGAAAATTGGTTATGGAGCTTCCCTTCAGGCAGCCGACTCAGAGCCCCGTCAGAGGCCCTGAGTAAGACAGCAGAATGCCTGTGGTGTTCAGAACTGCAGATGTTGTCCGATCTGGGTGGAAACTGTCTGAGTCAGGTAGGTATTCTGAGTCAGCAACCACCCGTTCTGACTAGTAGTGCCAGTCACTGATGTGTGGAGTCTGTGTGGACAACTTTAGTAACACCTAAGCAACATTCTATTGGATGTGCCAAAAGTGGTAAAAAGGGTGGAATATCATTAAAATGTATTCCTCCTGTCTACCTGAAATTTTAGCCTGGCTTGGTAACCATGGTTAATAACCATATATGGAAGCAGGCATTTAACCTAGCAGCTAAGACACCACATCTCACACTGGAATGCCTGGATTCAGGTCCCAGCTCTGTCTCCTGACTCTACTTCCTGCCAAAGCAGACTCAGGGAAGCAGCGATGACAGCTCAAGTCCTTGGGCTTCTGCCACCCATGTAGAGACATGGATGGAGTCGCTGGCTCCTGCCTCTGGCCCCAGCCTGGCATAGACTATAAAGTTATTTGGGTAGTGAACCAGTGGATAGGAGTTCTCTCTTTCTCTTACAAATTTTTTAAATTTAAAAATAACAATGTACTATACACATGTATACTTCAAAACAGTTCATGAAAAAAATGAAATTAAAGTTTATTTTGGCATAAATAATTTTTGAGATCCACACTTTTTTCATAACACACACTTTCTATGAACTTTCTGAAAACTCCTCATATATGAAAATTGCTAAGACAGTAGGCTTTAAATGTCTTCACCCCCCCCCCCAAAAAAAAAAACAATGAGAATCAGTAGGTGAGGTGATGATTAGGTTGACTGAATCATTCCACAATGCAGACAAGTTCAAAACATCACACTATTTCCCATAAATATATATAACTCTTTTTTGTCAATCAAAAATTTTTAAATTTTTAAAAGGAAAGATGAGAAAAAGAAACAATAAAGAAACCCAGAATCTGAGCTTATGAAAGTGCCTATAGGATTCTATAGAAAGAGGATTTTCAATATTCAACAGGTCACCTGCCCCAAAGCTAAGGTATGGACTTCTTTCTGTTACCTCTCATCCTCAGTAATGTTTCAGCTCATACCTGTGAGTGTGCTTGAT